AAGCTCTCAGCTTTGCTTTCATTTCTAGTGACATTAAGAGAGGCTCTCCACCAGCATCAAAAGACCTGCTATGACATGAAAATACATAATTTATTCAGTGATTCACAAACCATGTGGAAAGGCCATTCAAGTATGACACTCAAAATAGTAACCTCTTCACTAGAAGGGAAATGAAATCTCTTTTTGCCTGGCATTATTCTGGATAATAGACTATTCAGATTAAATTGGCTGCTTATGAAAATAGCACAAGCTATTAAATTCACAATACCCTTTACATGTTGCATCCAAATTAAAAACATATATAGTAGATGGATAAAGCTTAAGGACTCACGCACTGAAAAACCCAGGGGGTGAAGAAGGAACTCTGGTGAAAATCTGAAAATACTTATCTCTGCCAGCTTTGAGAGCAATTTGTGGTTAATAGTTTTAAATGAAGACACTGGAGAAATATGATAGTTACCAAGGATGCCCTGGCTGATGTAAGTAGTTACTGAGGTTATCTGAAGCCTGATGGGACAGAGCCACTCAGCAGTGGGAAGCTGAAGATCAGGGAATAGTCTAATGAGAAGATAAGATTGAAATGCATGTAGTGCATGTTAAAAAGCTCGAAATTGTCAAAGGATGTGATTACACTAACATTTATGCCTCTGTATGTAGCAAGGCATGATTTATTTAACAGTGCATAACTGCAATTAAATGGATTTTAAACATTCAACTGTTTTTTGTTTTCGCAAAATCATTTACATTGTTTTCTTAAAATATACAAACATACAACATAATTAAAAATAAAATCAATATTTTGGAGAAAAAAGTAATTGTATGCCTATTATTTGAGCCCTAATGTATTGGAAATTAGCAGTGAATCGTTTTTCTGGGATATTTTGTAAAGTATTATAATGTGATGATTTTGATTTTTTTGCCCATTGTGCCATTAAATTATTGGAGAAAAATGCTTTAATAGAAATGTTTAAAAAAAAAAAAATCCTAAACCTGTGTATAAACAAGACAACAAACTTAAAGTAAATTATTGGAGAAAATACTTTAAGAAATGTTTTAAACAAAATTACATTTATAAACCTGTATATAAACAAGACAAATATTATTAATTAGCACAAATGGACCATCTTACACAGCTGCGTAACACAGCTTTTTTTTTTTTGTTTAAAAAATATTTTCTTAATCGCCAAAAATACAATTAAGTATTAATTTGATATCGCAGCGTATGTTATGACAGCAGCAGCAGGCAAGAGCACGGCAGCGGCTGGAGACCGCTTCAGGGAGCGGTCGACGGATGGCGAGACGATTGGCTCCCAAGGCGGTTGGCAACAACTGGACTGTAAATGGACAGGGGTTTGCAGAGGGAAGTGACGGATCAGGAAATGGTTTAGGAGAGATGGGAGTAGGTGCAGTTTAAGAGGGTCTGTATGGTGGTCTGTGTTATGTCTATGGCCGTACTAACAGAGGCTCATGCGCCTCCACGCGCTATTGGCTGAGGGGAATTTCCGTCTGATGCCGGAAATGGACGTGGCAAGATGACAAAGTCCTGATGCGCTTCCTGTTTTAACTCTGGTCAAGTTATCAACAGTCAGTTGGCTATTAGATCTCACTGATTACCTGTAGTAACCGTGTTTCTGACTCTTCTCCTCCCTCTGTCTCTTTCTAATGTCCCGATAACGCTCTTTGGAGGCTCAGCAGGGGTGATGCGGGTGTCTTGGCGCTGGTTTTTGGGGCTGATTTGGGTCGGAGTGTCTGCGACTCGTGCTGGATCTCCTGTGTTTTCTGATGAGATCCCCTTCAAAATCAGATGGCCCGGGGCAGACTTCACCCTGGTGAGTCAAAACATCTAATAAACCCAGACGTCTCGCTTGACCGCTGTAAATACATACGTGTTTGTTTAGTTGTCAGCTTGTTGACTGAGCTCGCTTCATAACAGCTGGATGTGTTTTGTTTTGAGCTGTCTTGTAGTGTGTTAATATTCTCTCTAACAGCATTATGAAGTATTAAAGTACACAAATGGCAAGTAGAGCTGTCTGGTTTGTCTCTCTTTTACTGTGGGCATGGATTTGTCTGTTGTTATTTACTTCTGCAGAAGTTAAATATGCACTAATATGTAATAATATCCCTTTCTCTGCAGTCAACGTCAGGAGGCCTGTACAAAGAAGATAACTATGTTATCATGACAACTGCGGAAAAAGAAAAGTACAAATGTTTATTGCCATCTTTGTCCAGCAACCAGGAGGTGTGGTTATGCATGGCCAATTTTTTAGTTATTATTATCTTGAGCCATTCTGTGTATCGTTTACTTCAGTTTTATTTGATCAATTTATTGCCCGTCTCTTTTTTGAAGGATGATATGAAGAAGTATAGTGGGCCGAGTCCAGCTGAGCTGCTGGAGCCGTTATTCAAACAGAGCAGCTGCTCCTACAGAGTGAGTTTCATGTCTCAGTTTCTGTATCTAGTTTATAAACATGGTTATATCTCACAAAATATGTCTAGGTCACATTTCACCCCAACTTATATTTTGCTAAAAGAGAATTAAGCTTGTTTTTACAAAAAGTCAAATGTTTGAATAAATGATTGAGGTTAGATGTTATGATGAGTCATATGTTTTGCATTGATTACAATTATGACAGATCGAGTCATACTGGACATATGAAGTGTGCCACGGGAAGCATGTACGGCAGTACCATGAAGACAAGGAGACGGGGCAGGTAAAATCACTGTTTATGATGTATGCTGTATGCTGCCAGATCATTATTTATAGCATTCCTTATATCATATTGGAAATGCCTACAGTACCACTCAAAAGTTTGGGATTGGTAAGATTTGGTAATGTTTTTGAAAAAAGTCTCTTATGCTCACCAAGGCTGTATTTATTTGTTTAAAAATACAGTATAATATTATAAAATATCGTTACAATTTAAAATAACTGATTTCTATTTTAATATTTATTTCTGTGATGGCAAAGCTGAATTTTCAGCAGACATTGCTCCAGTCTTCAGTGTCACATGATCCATTTAATACATCCTTGCTCAATAAAAGTATTAATTTCTTTTAAAAAAATCTTACAGATCCCAAACTTTAGTGTATGTGGATGGATTATATTGAGATATTTCTAAGTAATATAAACATTTCAATGGTCTTATTTGTCTCTGCTTCCTCAGAAGATCAACATTCAGGAATACTATCTGGGTACCAAGAATAAAAAAGATAGTGCAGGTTGGCAAATTTGTAAGCTTAAGTTTGTATTTCTTGCTTTAAATATTCTAGTAAAGTATTAAAAATTTGTATCAATATATTATCTGCTCATCAGAATCAGAAACATCTAGCGACTCTGAAACAGAAGGATCAACCACCAACACAGAGGTTTGTAGCTGTTATACTATAAATCTAAATATAAAGGTAGGAAATGTATGTCACCTGAGGATTTTTTAAAACTCTATGTGTTCCCAGGTGCCAACAAAAAATATAGAGGGTCAGCTGACACCATACTATCCCGTAGAGATGGGACAAGGGACTGAATGCTCTCTGAGACAGAATGAACCTCGCTTTACCACAGTGCTGTACGTCTGCCACCCGGAGGCAAAACATGAGATCCTCACAATCGCTGAGGTCACCACCTGTCAGTATGAGGTAGTGGTGCTCACACCCCTCCTCTGTCCTCACCCGAAATACAGGTACATACACAAACACATTCAGTTTCCATAGTTTATCATACTAAATAAGTGGATAAAGATTAGTTATTGATTTCTGTTCACTATTTTTTTCTTGTGAATATGTATGTCAAGAAATAGAAACACCTATCCCTCACATACATTGTGCTTTAATAAAAAATAAATAATAAAATATAATAAATTTTTAGTCCTTTGTGACATAATCCAGCCCATTTTTCCTCAGGTTCAAGTCCTCCCCGGTGAATGACATCTTTTGCCAGGCTCTGGGTGGCTCCCCTCTCAGA